CGCGGCCCCCCGCACCAGCGCCCCCCGCGGGGGCGGGGCGCAGACCCCGCGGCCCCTGCGGGACAGACAGACAGAGGGACAGACAGGGGGTCAGCGCCAGCAGGGAGGGACAGGAACTCCACTGCTGCGCCACAGGGTGGGTGGGTTGTGTTGTGTTGTGTTATATTATGTTATATATCACATTACATAATAAAATATATAATATATACAATATGTAATATAATATATATTATTTTCTATTATATATCACATTACATAATATAATATATACTATATATAATATATATTATATATCACATTACATAATATAACATAACATAATATAACAGATCACATTTCATCACATCATAGAATATATAATATAAACTATAAAATATAATATAAAATATAAAATATAATATATAATATATAATATAATGTAATATAACAATATAGATCACATTTCATCACATAATATAATATATATAATATATATTATATATAACATAACATAATATAATACTATACTCTATCATACTATACATTATATTATATCATATCACACTATACTATATTATATTTACTATATTATATTTTACTATACTATGTTATGTTATATCACGTTACATTTATTGTATTATATTTATTGTATTACATTGTATTGTATTATACTGTACTATATTATATGATACTATATTATGTTATATTATATTATACTAATTATATATATAATGTTATGTTATATTATATATAATTATAATCTATACAATTATATTGTGTCATGTTATATTATATTGCATTATAGTGTATCATATTATATCCTACTAATCACTATAATATTATATTTATAATACTGCATTATATCATATTGTATCCTATTATATTATATATCACATAATATCTATTATACAACATCACATTATACTATGTTACACTATATTAAAGTGTTATACTAACACTATACTAGAAAGTAATATTATATTTATAATACTGCATTATATCATATTGTATCCTATTATATTATATATCACATAATATCTATTATACAACATCACATTATACTATGTTACACTATATTAAAGTGTTATACTAACACTATACTAGAAAGAACAGAGAGAAAGGATCCCTCAGGAGGTGGGAAGGAGAAGAAAAGAATGAATAACAAATCTTGTGACTGCTCACAGCCCCGACACGGGTGCCTGGCATTGCCAGCAAGTAAAACCATTTCACATGCTGGTGAACAATCTCCAAATCACATTCCAAAGCAGCAGAACATGGAAAGATGGAGAAAAACTCCTGACAAAACCATTTTCCATACAATGTGTCAGTGACAGTCAGGAGCTGCTGCCGTGGAGCCCCAGGACGGGGAGTGCCAGCAGTGCCAGACCCAGCAGAGCTGGCAGTGCCAGACTGGCACAGCAACGAGAACGGCTGTGCTGGGAGAGGCTGAGTGAACTCTGGGGGAATTCTGCTCTCTGGGTGAAAGCTGGAAACAGCAGGAGCACAGGCACCCTGGAATGCCTTCCCAGGGAATTCATTCTTGGGTTATTTTGCTTTTCCTGCTGAACTTTAGCCCAGCCCGGTCATTCCCTCACTTTTACCCTCCCAATTCTCTCCCTGTCCCATGAGTGGGGAGGGAGTGAGAGTGAGGCCTGGCTGCCCTTTGGGGTTAAATCACCACATTTTGGCTCAGCCCAGCCTAAACTGGGAGTTTTACACCATTCAGATTAGCTAAGCTTTGCCTGCAGAGCCAAAGTGGCTCCACAGAGCCAAGGAGAGGCTCCTCATGACACTTCAATCCCAATTTTTGGGCAGATCTGCAGAGTCAGGCTCAGGGATGTGGGAAAAAAATCTGATACAGAATTTTGGGCAGGGAATGTCACCCCAAAGGACCCTCCCACCCCAGATCCCTCAGGATCACTGAGGACATGGCAGGGACACTGCAGGCAGCAGGAGAAGCACCAGCCCATGGATCGGGGAGTGAGGGAACAATTTTGGTGCCAGTTGAACCCCAAGCTTTGCCAGAAAGATGCCACCCCAGAGGTGGGAACTCAAACTGAGAGGATGGGAATTTCAAACTGGGAATGCTGAGGGGTTCCAGCACATCCACCACCAGCCAGCCCCATTTCTGACAGCTTCATGAAACCATTTATGAAACCATTGCTTAAACCCACCCCAAATCCCCCCCGTGTCGGATGCCACCCCAAACACGGAGCTCTGAGCCAGAACCCCCAAGTCAGGCCTAGCTAAGCAGCAGCTTAACCCCCCTGGGAGCCCAGCTGAGGGTGAAAGGCAGCCTGGCAGGGCTGGCACTTTGGGCATACCTTGGCACAGGGGGAGGGGGAGGCGGGGCTGCCCCCCGGCCCCGCCCGGGGACGCCTCGGCCGCGGTTGGGCTCCGGGACCCCGTTGAGATAGGAGAGCTCCAGGAACTGCTCCTGGCAGATGTCGTCCATCATGTCCTGCAGAAAGGACAGAAACGAGGACAAAAATCAGCACCAATGAGCACAGAAAGGGTCAGCTCCAGACAGCAGCTCTGGGATAGCACAGGATGAAAGAACTGCATGGGCCTCAGGAAAATCTGGTTTCTCTGGCCTCAGGAAAATCTGCTTTTTCTGGGATTTGCTGCAGCTTTCTCCAAGATTCCAGCCCTGCACCTCCAGGAGATGTTCCCACAGTGCCAGGAGGATCCATGGGGCAGAGCCCAGGCAGGTCTCAGCCCACAGAGGGAACCCTGCAGTGCTCCCATCCCAAAGGGCCCCTTCCCAAAGCCAGGCTGGCTTTCCAAACCCCGAGGGATGCAGGGTGGGCCTGGCAGGTCCTGCAGATCCTTCCCGGGGGACTCCAGGGCCAGAGATCACCCAGCACCACCCCAGAGCTTCCCAGTGATCCCAGCACCACCCCAGAGCTTCGTGGAGATCCCAGAACCATCTCAGAGCTCCTCGGAGATCCCAAAACCATCCCAGTGCTCCCTGAACCACCCCAGTGCTCCCTGGAGATCCCAGAACCATCCCAGTGATCCCAGCATCATCCCAGTGCTCCCTGGAGATCCCAGAACCATCCCAGTGATCCCAGCATCATCCCAGTGCTCCCTGGAGATCCCAGCACCACCCCAGAGCTTCCTGGAGATCCCAGAACCATCTCAGAGCTCCTTGGAGATCCCAAAACCATCCCAGTGATACCTGGAGATCCCAAAACCATCCCAGTGATACCTGGAGATCCCAAAACCACCCCAGTGACACCTGGAGATCCCAAAACCATCTCAGAGCTCCCTGGAGATCCCAAAACCATCCCAGTGACACCTGGAGATCCCAAAACCATCCCAGTGACACCTGGAGATCCCAAAACCACCCCAGTGATACCTGGAGATCCCAGCACCACCCCAGTGACCCCAGCACCATCCCAGAGCTCCCTGGAGATCCCAGTGCTGATCTCCCACCAGACATCTGAACCTCCCCATTTCTTTCCCTATGTTACCAATCAATTTTAACTGCATTTGACTTTTGGGAGAGACTCCGAGGAGCAGGGCACTCACAGGGACCAGGAACTTCTTGACCTCCTCCATGGCGTGGGCCATGAGGGCGTAGGCCTCGCAGGGCGGCCCGAAGACCTCGATGAAAACGTGCAGGTCCATGTTGAGGTGGGCGTACTTGGGGTCGCCGCCCTTGCGCAGCTCCTCCTCCTGAAAAAACACACAATTCTTTTAGTTTTAGTTTATTTTTATTTTATTTTATTTTTATTTTATTTTTATTTTAGTTTTATTTTATATTCATTTTTACTTGGGGTCGCCGCCCTTGCACAGCTCCTCCTCCTGAAAAAAACACACAATTATTTTAGTTTTATTTTATTTTATTTTTATTTTATATTCATTTTTACTTGGGGTCGCTGCCCTTGCGCAGCTCCTCCTCCTGAAAAAACACAGAATTATTTTTTTTTATTTATTTTTTATTTTTATTTTATTTTTATTGGGGATGCCTGCGCTTGCAAGCTCCTCCTCCTGAAAAACCCACACAATTATTTTATTTTATTTTTATATTCACTTTTATTTGGGATCGCCGCCCTTGTCAGCTCCCTCCTCCTGAAAAAACACAGAATTATTTTTATTTTATTTTATTTTTATTTTATTTTTATTTGGGATCCCCGCCCCCCCTTGCGCAGCTCCTCCTCCTGCAGAAAACACTGAATTATTTCAGTTTTTTTTTAGTTTTAATTTCTATTTTCTTTTTATTTGGGATCCCCGCCCCTTATTTTATTTTTATTTTATTTTTATTTTATTTTTATTTGGGATCGCTGCCCTTGCGCAGCTCCTCCTCCTGCAGAAAACACTGAATTATTTCAGTTTTATTTTAGTTTTAATTTCTATTTTCTTTTTATTTGGGATCCCCGCCCCCCCTTGCGGAGCTCCTCCTCCTGCAAAAACCAAAATTGTGATTCAAATTGATTCAAATTCTTTGTGATCAAAAATGGTCAGGAACACATTGCTCCAACATCTCCACTGAACCAGAGAAGTTTAAATATTTTAGAGCAGCTAAAAAAGGGATTTTTATCTTTGTACAGAGGGGAAAATATCCCTTTAGTGAATGTCCCTTCAGGAGAATAATCCTTATTTTATCCATTTTAAATTCAACTTAAATTTCATTGAAATTTCATTAAATTTAATTGAAATTTCATTAAAATTAAATTTCATATAAAATTAAATTTCACTAAAATTAAATTTCATTAAAATGAAATTTCACTAAAATTAAATTTCATTAAAATTAAATTTCATTAAAATTAAATTTCATTAAAATTAAATTTCATTAAAATTAAATTTCATTAAAATTAAATTTCACTAAAATTAAATTTCATTAAAATTAAATTTCACTAAAATTAAATTTCATTAAAATTAAATTTCACTAAAATTAAATTTCATTAAAATTAAATTTCACTAAAATTAAATTTCACTAAAATTAAATTTCACTAAAATTAAATTTCACTAAAATTAAATTAAATTAAAATTAAAATTAATTTAATTTTAATTAAATTTCAAATTAAACTTTAATTGAATTTTTTTCTAGTTTAATGTTTAATGAAATGCTTGGAGAGCTGCTGATTCTGAGCCAAAAATGGGATTTTGTGCTCCCACCTTGGCTTTGTCCCTCATGGAACCTTTCCCCAGCACAGAGATTTTTGCACCAGTTTCTTCCTGAAGCCTCTTTATGGTGTTGCCTTGGGGTCCCAAAATCTTCCCAACGAAGTTGAACTGGAAATTAAGGAAAAAAAACCAAAATTAATCAGCTCCAGAGCTCAAAAAGAGCAACTTTTTTTTTTAATGTTCTGTCAATTGATAAAAAAAAAAAAAATTGCATTTTCTCCTCATTTTACCCAAAAAAAATGCAGAGGAAAATTGAAGTTTTGAAAGGAAAATTGAAGTTTTGAAAGGAAAATTGAAGTTTTGAAAGGAAAATTGAAGTTTTGAAAGGAAAATTGAAGTTTTGAAAGGAAAATTGAAAGTTTTGAAAGGAAAATTGAAGTTTTGAAAGGAAAATTGAAAGTTTTGAAAGGAAAATTGAAGTTTTGAAAGGAAAATTCAAGTTTTGAAAGGAAAATCAAAGTTTTGAAAGGAAAATTCAGGTTTCGAAAGGAAAATTCAGGTTTCGAAAGGAAAATTCAGGTTTCGAAAGGAAAATCAAAGTCCTGAATTTTGGTTGAAAAAGCAGAATTCACTCCAGAAAAGAAGAAAATCTGCTTTTTTCTGGTTTTTTGGCCTCACCTTGGGGTACTGCTTGACAGGGATCAGAACTCGTTCCTTCAGTTTCATGTTCTTGTGGGAGAACAAATCCAGGTAATTCTCTTCTTCCTCCTTCTTGGCTGTCTCACCCTTCTGAATTTTTTCAATTTCTAAATAAAAATCAAATAAAAATGATTATCAATAATAATATAAATTACTATATCATTATATTATTTATTATTATATTATATAAAATAATATATAAAATTAAATAAAATTAATATAAAATTATATTAATATTATTATATAATTATATTATTATTATTTCTTATATAAAATAAATAATAAAATTATATTAGTAGAAGTAGAAAGAATAGAATTATAACAATTAAAAAAATATTATAACAAGACAAAAATAGTAATGTAAAATATAAATAATAATAATTTGGAATAGAAACACCAGTTTTTAATTTATTATAATAAATAATAATTATAAATAATTAATATATATTTATTTATATATTTTATAATATTTATATTTATTATATAAATAATAAATATAAATAAATAATTATAATCATATTTAATTTAATTTTTAAATTAATTTTTTTGTTTTTCCTAACCCAGTGTGGGGTGGGTCAGGAAATTCTCCCAGCTCCATTTCACGAAATAAATTCAGATTTCTCACCCCAACCATCCCCAAGTGGGTTTTAACCCTGAGGTGTGGGAATGAAAATGGAATTTTTTGGAATAGAAACACCAGTTTTTAATTTACTATAATAAATAATAATTATAAATAATTAATATATATTTATTTTATATATGTTATAATATTTATATTTATTATATAAATAAATAATTATAATAATATTTAATTTAATTTTTAAATTAATTTTTTTTTGTTTTTCCTAACCCAGTGTGGGGTGGGCAGGAAATTCTCCCAGCTCTATTTCACAAAATAAATTCAGATTTCTCACCCAAACCA